TTAGGATCTTGATATGGGAAGATTATCCTGGATTAGCTGGGCGTGCCCAATGATATAGTCAAAAGAGAAAGAAGATTGAGAAAGAAGATGAGGTTAGAAGCAGAGTTCGGACAGAAGATTCCAAGTTTTTGACATTGAAGATGAAGGAAAGGACACAGGCTAAGAAAATGAAGGTGTTGTCTTAAAGTTGAAAATTAAGGGAATTAACGTCCCCCAGAGCTTCCAGAAGAAACACAACTTGGGCCTCCCCGATGGCGCAGTGGTTGAGCGCTGGGTTGAGAAGCTGCCTGCAGCTTCTGCAGCGCCGGTTCGATCCCCGGCAGCCATGCGAGGGTCCCACATGGCACGCAGACCTCTCCTGCCACCCGCTGGTCCCCTCAGCAGTGTACTTCGGTCCTTCTACCTGCTCTGCTCCCCGCTCTGGCTCTGGTGAATTCTCTCACCCTCCCACGCTTGACTGTACCCAGTGCTTGTATAAATCAATAAATCTTTAAAAAAAAAAAAAAAGTTGAACTGGCTTAGTTTTTAAAAAAAAAAAAAAAAGAAACACAACTTATGGACACATCTTAGTCTTCTGACCTTCAAAACTCTAAGATAATAATTTTTTTTTTTTACTTTAATCTACCAAGATAGTTTTTTTTAAAGATTTATTTATTTATGCATACAAGAACTGGGGTACAGGCCAGAGATGTCGGGGTGTGAGAGGATTCATCAGAGACAGAGTCTGGAACAGAACAGGCAGATCAACTGAAATACACTGCTGAGGGGAGCAGTGGGCGAGTCAGGAGAGGTCTGCTGTGCTATGTGTGTTGCTCCCTGGCTGGGGATAGAACTCGTGCTGTAGTGGCTGCAGTGAACTTCATAGGTTGTGTTTTAACCCCTTGCGCCACAAGGGAGGCCCCACTGTGAGAGTTTTTTACAGCAGAAAACTAAGACATTATGCTGGAAAAAAAAAATACTCTGTCTCTCCTCAATTGGACATATACTGTACAAGGCCAGCAAATTTTGTCTGTTTTTAGTTCACTGATATTCCTAATGCAAAAATACTGTGTGCCAAATATCTGACATTTGGTAAATGTTATTTGAATAGTCCTCCTTAGTCTAGAGACATTATCTTTGTTAATTTAGCTTCAACTCATATGCAGTTTTGTGGCCACTCTAGCTCATCACCTTCTATTTTTCTTGTAAGTGCTGCTCTTCTCTCCCTCCTCTCCTCCCACAGCAACTCCCTTGACACTACAGCACACAATTTCATTTCCCCTTTTAGAAAAGAAGGGTTCTAGGTTTATGGGCCCCATATTCCAAACAGCTGCAAATTTTGAACTTTATTTATAAATCCATGTTCAGTTGTTTCCAGCACTAGGATTACTACAGCTCAAGGCAGGAAGAGAGGACAAGTGAACAGAGAAGATGGAAACATAATTGGAATTAATCTGAGAAAAATGCAAAATTATGGGATCTGCTAATTGCAGAATCTGGCATTAAGAAGGTTGGAGAGAAGATGGAAGGAATAATCCAGGGAACTGCCAGGGAGCAAGAGCTAGACCAGACTAAACATCTGCTCCCAACACCACAGACTCCTGTGTGTAGGTGCCACGCCGGGCCTTGTGGGGACAATGACAGGATAAACACCTCTTGCTGTTGGAGATGGGGGCACCCAGAGGAGAAGATCAGCACTGAACACAAAACAAGCATAATTCCTGATAAATATAAAGACAGAAACAAATACCCAGAAGATGGCAGCTGAGGGCCTGAGCCTAGGCTGATTCAGCCACCTGAAGTCCTTGCTACCCAGGGTCCTGGAGACAGGACAGGTCCAGGTGGTGTCTGAGTCCCTGTGATCACAGGCCCTGCTGGGACAGGTGCTCCTGAAGGACAAGGACAAAGGGGCAGAGAGATGACCCCTGAGGAGTGACCACGTCAAAGCCCACGACACACTGAACACCAACTGGACACAGGTCCCGTCCCCCTCGACTCCTCACAGCCTCTCCTGCACAGACCTAGCATAGGAAACATTCAGATCCTGGACGGTTCTCAGTGCTTCCTTTCATTTCTCTAAAAATTTAATATTCTCTTCTTTAACCCAAGAACCCCACCTTGTGACAAGGATTAGAAGAAACAAACTTATGTACACATTTTTTAATTGTTGTGATTTTCCTTTTTATTTATTTATTTATTCATTCATTCATTTGAAGATTTATTTATTTATTTATTTATTTATACAAGCACTGCGTACAGTCAGAAGCATGGGTTGGTGAGAGAATTCACCAGAGCCAGAGTGGAGAGCAGAGCAGGCAGAATGAAGAAGTACACCGCTAGGGGAGCAGCGGGTGGCAGGAGAGGTCTGCGCGCCATGTGGGACCGTCGCCCGGTGGCTGGGGATCGAACTGGCACTGCAGAGGCTGTGGGCAGCCTCGCAACCCAGTGCTCAACCGCTGCACCACTGGGGAGGCCCTGATTTTCCTTTTAATTGAAGATCCCTTGCTGGTCCTGCCTCCATGAGTGGCCACGACCAGGGGAGTGGGGAGGGGAACCAGGCGGTGTGGGGAGTGGGTCATCTCTACATCCCGTTTCTACACAGAACCAAACAGACAGCACAGGGTCACTATTGCAGTTGAAAGGTGGCAGCACAGAAGGGGATGAACAGTGAGGGCTTAGGGTATGATTAAAAAAACTATACCCCAATATACCTCTTGCTGTTGGAGATGGGGGCACCCAGAGGAGGAGATCAGAACTGAACACAAAACAGTCATAATTCCCTTCTGGGGGGAACATGGTCTGCTTAAACCCAAGAGGGATGAGAAGATCAAAAGTGGTTTGGGAAGGCCAGATCTGTCAGGGATGGAGGTAGGAAGAAGGTCTGGGGGGGAGGGGGCTTTTGGCAACTAGGCGGAGGCACTGTCCTCCCCCTGCTGGGATTCCCTAGCCCCTCTGGTCTGGCAGGAAGGGGGCAGCCTGCAACCCCTATGGGCAGGTCTGGGGCAGCCAGATGCTTTAGGCAGGGGGGTGGAGGGGGCTTGCCCTCCAGGGAAATGACACACTACCCCCAGCTTCTCTGCCAGGGTAGAGTTCGTTTTTTTTTTTTTTTAATTATGCATGCAAGAACTAGGGTGCAGGCCAGAGGTGCGGGGTGGGGAGTGAGAGGATTCACCAGAGACAGAGTGGGGAACAGAACAGGCAGACTGACTGAAATACACTGCTGAGGGGAGCAGCAGGCGAGACAGGAGAGGACTGCTGTGCATGTGGGTAGCTCCCTGGCGGGGGATTGAACTTGTGCTACATAGGCTGCGACAAGCTTTATAGGTTGCATCTTTTTTTTTTTAAGATTTATTTATTTTATTTATACAAGCACTGGGTACAGTCAGAAGTACGGGAGGGTGAGAGAATTCATCAGCGCCAGAGCGGAGAGCAGAACAGGCAGAATGACGAAGTACACTGCTGAGGGGAGCAGCGGGCGGCAGGAGAGGTCTGTGCGCCATGTGGGACTCTCACCCAGCAGCCGGGGATCGAACCAGCGCTGCAGAGGCTGCAGGCAGCCTTGCAACCCAGCGCTCAACCGCTGCGCCACCGGGGAGGCCCCTATAGGTTGCATCTTAAACCCTTGCACCACCAGGGAGGCCCCAGCATTTTACTTTAAGAGCTGGTTGGGGCAAAACCAGAAAACAAAACCTGGTTAGAGTGCCTAGAAGATGAGTCTAAAGGAACAATTATGGGGTGGGTGAGCTCCTGCATATACTCCATCTGCACTTTTCTTTTTTTTTTTTAAAGTTTTATTCATTTATGCACACAGGAGCTGGGGTACAGGACAGAGGTGCAGAGGTTGAGAGGATTCACCCGAGATAGAGTGGGAAACAGAACAGGCAGACTGACTGAAATACACTGCTGAGGAGAGCAGTAGGCCAGATAGGAAAGGTCTGCCTCGTCATGTGGGTTGCTCCCTGGCTGCCCAGGGACTGAACCTGTGCTGCAGAGGCAGTGGACCACCCCAAAGTGCCATGCCCAGCCCCCTGTGCCACCAGGGAGGCCCGCCATCTACACTTTTCTAAGGGCCTTCTTACCCCACTTATATCCAGACTTAGTATTTCTCTCCTTCTCTACCTGTAGGAAGAAAACATTTTGTGAGAGGCCAGGGAGGAGGCAGGTCCTGAGAAACTGGCCTGTCCTGGGCTCCAGGACAGGATTGGTGCCGAGGACCAGCCTCCGGCAAAATGTCGTATCAGGGGTTCCTGAAAGGATGAGACAGCCTCGGCGAAAACGAATGATCTGAAACTTAGGAACTGAGGGGAAGGGAATGAGGAGACACCGACACTTGGTGAGGTGTTAGTATCTTCTGCCGAGAGGCTCAGCAGGTTCTTTATTTATACATTTTTTGCAAGCATTGAGATTACATTATCAAGTGCATAAAAACAAAGCAGAAACAATCAGTGCATCCCTTTCCCCATAGACTTTTGACCACTACGTGCTCTCAGCAAGAAGGCAACCTTCAAGGTTAATAAAAAACTAAGTCTTACACTAAAATTCATTGTTTCAGCTAAACAATAACCTAAGACAGTTGATAGCCGCCAGTACATCCCTATCAGCTAAAGCCTAAGCAAGAAAAGACTTTTCTTATTCGCATGGCCTTCACAGCAGGGGCTGGCTGCTACTCAGCTATCAGAACTTCCTCTACCTAGAAACTCCTTAACTCAAATAGCTCCATTTAAGAACTTTCCCAAGAAACTTCAAGGGAAGGCAAAAGAAGGACTTAAAATAATAGTCGTATTGTAATGCTTGTCAGGCATGTTCAATAACTTGTCTCCCATTGTCAAGTGGGCCAAATTGTTTAATAATTAGTTTTTTTTTTATAGAGGCATGTTTTCTTTCTTTGTTTATTTGTTTGTTTGTTTGTTTGTTTTTTTGTTTTATACATGCACTGGGTACAGTCAGAAGCGCGGGAGGGTGAGAGAATTCACCAGAGCCAGAGCGGGGAGCAGAGCAGGCAGAAGGACCGAAGTACACTGCTGAGGGGAGCAGCGGGCGGCAGGAGAGGTCTGCGCGCCATGCGGGACCCTCCTCCGGTGGCCGGGGAGCAGCCGGGGATCGAACCAGCGCCACAGAGGCCGCGGGCAGCTTCGTAACCCAGCGCTCAACCGCTGCGCCACCGGGGAGGCCCTAATAATTAGTTTTTAAGAGATAATTTTCCGTGCCGTTTATTTGCAGTATGTATATAATGTAGTGCCTGATGTACTTTTTTGGGAAATTTTTCTCCTTTTATGACCAGGAACAAAAAGTGAAGGGATGTTAGATCTTCAGCCCCACGGTGTGAGGCCCTTTAACTTCGGCCCCATGGTGTGAGGCCCTTTGAGCTTCGCTGCTTGCCAGTATTTTATCTGGCGGGGCTACAAGGCCTCCTGCAGCAGATTGGGGAACATGAGGAGAAAGCACGTGTGGGAGCTGTGCCAGCCTCCTCCGTCCTTAGCAGGGACATTTCCTTTTTACCTGCAGCTACTCAAGTGAGGTCCCCACGACCAAAATCATCAAGTTGAAATATTTGTCCTTCATTTTTCATACAAAGGAGTTTCACATGCTTTACAAAAAAAGTGTCAGCAAACCCGGCTCTCAGCTGAGAAAGCGCATGTGTGTGGGAACATACCTCAGTATCAAGCAGACGTTAGACAAGAAATCTCAGACCTCATACGAGGTTTTCTCTGAGTGCTTCTTCCTCCAAATCACAGCTTCAGTGAGCACAGCCCCAAGGAAAAGCAGGACAGCCCCAAGGGGAACCAGGACGTCTGCAATGTTGCCCACGGTGGGGATGGAGGACTGAGGAGGTGGCTCTGGAAGGGAAAAGGTGAGACTGACTTTCAGGCCTCAGGCCCCATCCTTCTGGAGGGCTCCAGAAGGGCTCCTGATTCCCCTGAGAAGCTGTGCCCATGACCCCCTCCTTACCCCATCTCAGGACTCGGGGCTCCAGCAGCCCCTCATGCTGCACATGGCACGTGTATCTCTGCTCCTCTCCAGAAGGCACCTCCACAGCTGCCCACTTCTGGAAGGTTCCATTGCCCCCAGGCCGGGTCTCTACCAGCTCCGTGTCCTGGGTCATGTCCTCCCCATCTCGCTGCCAGGTCAGAGTGATGTCCGCAGGGTAGAAGTCCAGGGCCCAGCACCTCAGGGTGACCTCATGGTCAGAGGTGGGGTGGTGGGTCACGAGTGTCTTTGGGAGTTCTGAAAATTTGTACTTTGGGTTATTTTCACAGGCCACTGAAGCAGCCTCATATGACCATCCTGAGGGTGGACAGATAATTGCACTGGGTGGACAGAGTGCAAAACTGGAACACCAGCCTGGCCTTGGAGACTGGGATAATCTCCTAATCCTTGGAAATTTCTAGAATCAGGGTGCAGCAGTTCAGGGTAGCAGGCTGCAGGGCTCTGAGGGAGAGACTAGAGACTTCTCGTCTTGACCTGGATAGAGGCCCAAGTGACTCAGGAATGTTCGAGTCTGAACTAAAACCTCTGAGAACCAGATGTGAGCAAGATATACCTGGCTCACCAGAACACTGCCAGGATCAGAGAGATCAGTTATTTCAGGACTGTTCCTCACCTGGAGAGAGCGCCTTCCTTAATTGTCCCCACGAAGGGCTGGCACTCTAGGGGTCACTTTCGAGGATCTGGACACCCAGGCAGACTCCTCACCTTCTGGGGCCATAGGCGGGTGGTATCTGACCTTGAGCCCACTCTCCTTCCCTGTGCTGGACCCAGCGTTGGCCCTACGGGAGGCCCGAGGCAACTCTTACTTGCACGCAGTGTCCGGTTCCCTTTCTTCAGGTGTCCTTGGAGCCACTGCCCACACTTGTGTTCCAGGCGCGGAGTGTGGAATTCCGAGGCGAGGACTTCCTCCCAGGTCTCATCCTCCCAGGTCTGCGCCTCCATGCCCGCTTTGGTCCTGGTGCGCAGCTCCTCCATCAGAGTGAGGGAATCAACGCCGTCGTAGGCGAATTGATTGAAGCGGCTTAGGCTACCGTCCAGGCCCACTTCACAGCCATCCCTCACCTGCAAGGTGTGAGACCCTGGCCGGCCCCGCCATGTCAGCCGCGCCCACTTAGCACCACCCCCACTTAGCACCACCCCCATCCCCAGGCAAGCACAGCTGCTGGGGATTTGTAATAAACTATCACAGAAACAGGGTAAAAGTTCCAAGGCCTCGAGGGGAAGCTCGGACCCAGAGACTGGAGGGAACCCCTGTCCGTAGGCGGGGATCACACACCTGTTCTGCTCTGGTTGTAGTACATCAGCAGGTTGCTCAGTCGGAGCCTGGACAGGTGTAAGTGGCCCTCGACAATCCGCTTTTGGCTCTCCCAATACTCCGACCCCTCTAGCTGCATCCAGGGCACTGTTGCCTCCATTTTCGGACTCGGGTCGTTGTTGTCAAACCGCAGGAGCTGCGTGTCGTCCATGTAGCCCACGCAGATGAAGCGGGGCTCCCCGGAACCCGGCCGGGACATCGCGGTGTGCAAGAATATTACGGAGTGGGAGCCTGGGGGAGGGGAGGGGTTGAGACCCCAACTCTCCTCGGGGCACCAGTGTCTGGGTCCGAGGATGAAGGGGCCGGGCAGGGGGAGAGAGCAAGGGCACTCGTGAGACTGAAAAAGGGTGGCAGGAGAAGGTCAGGGCACAGGGTGGGTGGAAAGAAGGAGCAGGATACCCCTGCCGGCAGAGGTGTGGGGTTTGATGTGGGTTGAGGAGAGGGCCGTTGGGGGACCCTTCTCGGGTCCTGGCCGCTGCAGGGCGGTCCTCTCACTCCTCCCAGGTCAAAGCCATCCCCTCCAAACTTTGTACTCACCTGCCCAGGTCTCAGTCAGGACCAGGGCCCCAAACAGCAGCAGGAGGAAAGTTGAGGGTGGCATAATCTGGATCCTCCTGGTCTGAGAAGAATCTAAAACCCAGTGCAGACTTTACATCCCAAAAGGCTTGACGCTGATGGACTTGTTCCGACAGTCATGTATTGGAATTAGAACTGGGCGTGTACAGGATGAAGGACTTGGTGCAGCCTGTGATAGAACAAAGTGGAGATGAATATTCCCTGCGCTTGGCTCCCCACCCAAACACTGTCCTGAGAACCACACCTGAGAGCTGGGACTGTGCCCGACCCTCCTGCAGGTGGCTCTTGGCTCTGGTGTCTTTGCTTCTGCATTGAGGAGCCTTTCTCACACCAGTCTCTCTGTACCAGGGTCTGTTTAAATCAGCGGTTCTCAAAATTTTGGTCTTTATGATCTGAATACACTCTCACAGATGAATGAGGATCCATGATAATTTTGTTGGTTATATCCATCAATATTTGCCATGCTAGAGATCAAAAATTAAAAGAAATACTTATTCATTTAGAATGATATTAACAACCCTACATGTTAAAAGAAATAAAATATTTTTATGAAAATATTTTCCAAAACAAAAAGTATAGTGACAATATTAGGGGGAAAGGATGTCCTGAGCAAGCTCCACACAGGCTTTGTGGACTCCACCCCCACTCCAGACCAAAGCCATCAGGACACTGGGAATGACAAATCCCTTTGTCACCAAAGGGAGGGTTGCTGGGACCTGAGGGCGGAGTTTAGCAGCCAGGTTTGTGGGCTTGTGTTGCTCTCTTGGCCTCATGGCTCTTGGCTCTTCGCCAGCTCTCAGCGTGCCCTTGGGATTTCAGGTCAGCTGAACTGGTAGGACAGATTCACAAAATTTTCCCTCTTTTTCTCCCTGAGTTATTCATTTCTTTATTTCCCCTTCTTTTGTAAATAAACCTTTTATTAACCTTTTGTGTGTGCCTGCAGTCAAGCATTAATAAGTCCCTTTTAAGCGTGCAGGTGAGGACCCACAGTCACACAACCCGTTTCATATGGGGGTTGCCCTGTAACAGTTTGGCACAACATGGTTGACCAAGTTACATCCATGGTTGACCAGCCCAAAGTAACCTTCCTTGCGATGGTCACCTTATGTGCACTAGGTCTACAGGACACGTGGTGTAATCTTTGTCTCAGGTCTTGAAAAGTCTGCTTTTTTCCCCCTGTGTACAGCTCTCTCTTGTGTGTGTGTTTTTGACCAAAACATGGATGGCCTCAACCGTGAGCGTAAGCAGTTTTATCCCTAGCTTGAGTTCTTTCAGTTTTTTTTTCCGGCCTTGAGTTTAAGTAGCCTTTTTCCATTAAATATTATCACCAGTTTTATAAATGTAAATAATTTGATAAAACCTGGTATATGGCACATGATTTTACTTCTCTACATATGTGGGTGGTTTACAAGCCATCCAAGCCATCCCTACTTTACAATCTGTGCTTCTGGGTTTTTTCTTTTTTTTTTTTTGTAATGTGTGTAAGCGCCATTTGCTACATTCTTGGTTCAATGAAAGGTAGATGTTCTACTTCACATACTGAGAATATGCAACAACAAATTCAGGCTCTTAACTTAGCTATGCAACAACAAATTCAGGTTCTTGATTAAACTATTAAGAGTATGAGGGATGAAAACCATACTGTTTTTGAGCCAGCTTTTAAAAGCATGCAGGATCAAGCTTTTAAAAGTATGCAGGACCAGCTACAGGCCGCCCTCCATAAATTGGATATGGCCAAATCTTGGCTGATGGCACAGAGAAGGGATAAACCTTCCCCTTCCCATGAGGACTGCAAGAGGGCAGAGTTAGAAGAGGAAAATTATCATTTGTTAAACACTTTAAACACATCAGGACAAAATCCTTTTCAGTGTGACAATGCCACCCCCCTCCACCCCTGCAGACTCCGGAGGCACCACAGCCTTCACTGCCCTCTGGGGAAGAAACTAAAATGGCGTCTCCCCCTACACGAGATGGGGCATCCACTTTGGCAGAAAGAGTCACCCTGGAGCAGGACAGTTTCCTCTTTGCCAGATGCCGATGGGTGGTTTGAATGAACATGGGCGACCTGCTGGGTATTTTTGGTTGCACCATCCTTTTAGCACCACAGACCGGCTACATTGGAGGAGTTCTGTCCCTTCATATGGGCAGGCTCCTAAGAAGATGGCGAACTTGTTTGCGTCTCTCTTCCTCTCCTACTGCCCTAACTGGGCAGATATACAGTCCATGCTACAAACTTAACTGACTGTGGACGAGCAGAGGAAAGCCAGGAAGGAGGCTGGCCACCTCCACCAACAGGATGGAGAATCCCCAGAGCCAGAGATGGTTGTCCCGGTGGTGGATCCTGAATGGGAACCCAACAATGGAGGAATGGCGATGTTAGAGCTCTATAAAAAATGTTTACTGGTAGGACTGCAGCAGGGAATCCCCAAACAAAAAAATTACAATAAAATCTTACAGATCGAATAGGGAGCTAATGAGGATCCACGGAGTTTCTTGAAAGAATTATCCAGACATATACTGACCACACAGATACAAATCTAGAAGCCCCAGATAACACTCTGATCACTATGGTATTCGTTACACATAATGCCCCAGACATAAGGAAAAAGTTAACAAAGGTGGAGGGCTTCCCTGGTGGCGCAGGTGGTTGAGCGCCGCACTGTGAAGCTGTCTGCAGCCTCTGCAGCGGGGGTTCAATCCCGGCCAGCTGGCGAGAATCCCACAGAAGACCTCTCCTGTCTTGCCCGCTGCTCCCCTCAGCAGTGTATTTCAACAGTCTGCCTGTTCCTTTCCCCGCTCTGTCTCTGGTGAATCCTCTCACTCTCCCGCACATCTGGCCTGTACCCCAGTACTTGTAAAAATAAATAAATCTTAAAAAAAGTTAATAAAGGTGGATGGTGTCACAGAGATGAGTCTGTCCTTGGTAGTGGACTTGGCATTTTGGGCTTATAACAACAGAGAGGACAGGAGACCAAAACCTGCAACTGTTTTTGTACAAAGGGAGAAACAGGACAGGATTTCAGGGAAACAGTAATGGACTGACATGTGAGCCCAGGAGAAGTGAATCCCTAGGGAGAAATCAATGTGCTTACTGCAGGAAGGGTTCAATTAAACCAGGGCGTCTTATTACAATATGCAGATGATTTATTGATTGCAAGTCCAGACTATGAATCTTGTCTGAAAATACCATAGTGGTACTGAATCACCTGGCAGAATGTGGCTATAAGGTGTCACCTAACAGATATGTAAACAAACAGTGACATATTTGGGGTTTGAAATTAAGGAAGGCAAATGGAGCCTGATGATGGAAAGAAAATAGGTAATTTCAGCCCTTAAAATCTCTAGCAACCGGTGACAGTTGCGTGGATTTTTGGGTATGGTTGGGTTTTGCAGGATTTGGATGCCTAACTTTGGACTAATAGCAAAACCCTTATATGATGCTCTCAAAGTCTTGGACTCTGAACCTTTGTCTTGGACCCCAGCATGTCAAAAGGCCTTTGATAAAATAAAACTAAAGTTGATCTCAGCACCAGCATTAGGGCTTCCAGATCTTAGGAAGCCATTCAGACTTTATGTACATGAGAGACAGGGGATTGGCCTAAGAGTGCTAATCCAATTGTTGGGGCCAGAAATGCAGCCCATTGTGTATCTGTCCAAACAATTGGACCACACCACTAAGGGATGGCCTCCATGTTGCATGCTGTGGCTGCCACTTGTGAGCTCCTACACAAGGCAGAAAAGTTTACCTTGGGTCAGCCCATGACTGTGTGTATGCCACATCAGGTCTTGCTGTTGTGGAACAGACGGGTGGACTTTGGTTAACCGCTGGGTGAATGGGAAAATATCAAGCATCTCTGTTAGACAATCCTAATGTGAAAATGCAGGTTTCCAATTCCCTGAATCCTGCCACACTGCTTCCAAGCAATGCAGATGGATCTGAGGATGACACTTAAATCCATAACTGTTTAGAAACCATAGACACAGTGTTTGCCAGCCAACCGGATCTAACTGACCAGCCTCTGCCGGATCCAGAATGGGAGCTATTTACAGATGGCAGCAGCTTCAAGGCCGTCGATGTGCAGGATACGCAGTGGTGACACTCAAGAACATCGTGGAAGCCAAGGCTCTTCTGGCAGGTCCATCAGCGCAGAAAGCAGAATTAATAGCCCTGACCCGTGCCTTGGAACTCTCAAAAGGTAAAAGAGTCAATATATTCACTGACTCAAAATATTCTTTCATAATTCTCCACATGCATGGGGCCATTTTGAAGGAGCGGGGACGCCTTACTTCCAGTAACAAGGATGTCAAACACCCATTAGAAATCCTGGCCCTGTTAAAGGCAGTAGCTTTACCATCAGCTGTTGCCGTGATGCATTATCCTGGCCACCAAAAGGGTGGGTCTGACATGGCAAAGGGCAACAGGGCAGCTGATCGGGTGGCTAAGGCCACTGCCCATTCTGCTCTCCAGGGTGCTCTCATCCCTCTTGTGGACCTAACTTGGTATGTCCCTGACTACACTGAGCGGGAGGAGGAGAGAGCTCGTGTATGGGGATTTACTGAGTTTGACCCCAGCTCCACTTGGAGAGTAAAGTCCCATGGGAGATACTCCTCCTGGAGGCCCTGGTATATCCGGTGCTAAAACATCTTCACGAAGGATCTCACTATGGAAAAGATGCCTTATTAGAAACAGTGTGCCCATATTTGAAGGGACCATATTTACACAAAATAGCACAACTGATCACCCAAGGTTATCAATATGTGCCAGAAATAACCCCAAGACTGACTCCCACTCTAAAGTCACTGGGGTTCAATATTGGGGCAAGTGCCCTTTTGAGGACTGGAAAGTGGACTTTACACAAATGCCTAGAACAACAGGCAACTTCAAATACCTACTGGTTTTTGTGGACACGTTCTCGGGATTGGGGGAAGCATTTCCCACCAAGACAGAAAAAGCTTCCGAGGTTGCAAAACCACTGCTAAAGGAGATAATCCCTCACTTTGGGTTGCCCAGCTCCATCCATAGTGATAATGGGCCAGCATTCATCTCTGATGTCACTCATGCAGTAAGCAGGGCATTACAAATCAAATGGAAATTGCGTGCTGCATGGAGACCACAGTCTTCTAGACAAACTGAAACAATGACCCACACCTTAAAGAAAACCTTGGCAAAATTGTGCCAAGAAACAAACCTTCATTGGGACCAGGTACTATCCCTTGCCCTCTTTCAGATAAGAGTGGCACCTAGAAGTGGACTACAATTGAGCCCCCTTGAAATTGCATTTGGAAGACCCTTCCAGGTCTCAGTTCTGAAAGCCAGTCCAGAAATAGCCAGATCACACAATATGTGAAACATATCCAGGAGGTTCTGTCAGTAAACCACAACTTTGTAACCTCGAGGATCTCTATGCCTCCTGGTCAACCATTACATCCCTTCAGACCTGGAGATCAGGTCTTACTGAAGACT